TCCATAAAGAAAATCGTTAACTTGGTAGAACATTTTCTTTATAGGCAACGTGACAGCAGTCTACCAAGTTAATGATTTTCTTTATAGGCATCGTGACAGCAATCTACCAAGTTAACGATTTTCTTTATAAGCAACGTGACAGCAATCTACCAAGTTAATCATTTTCTTTATAGGCAACGTGACAGCAAATTAACTTGGTAGATTGCTGTCATGTTGTCCATAAAGAAAATCGTTAACTTGGTAGATTGCTGTCATGTTGCCTATAAAGAAAATCACTAACTTGGTAGATTGCTGTCATGTTGCCTATAAAGAAAATCATTAAATTGGTAGATTGCTGTCATGTTGCCTATAAAGAAAATCATTAAATTGGTAGATTGCTGTCATGTTGCCTATAAAGAAAATCGTTAACTTGTACATTATTTAAAAGTATGCTCTATGGATGAGTCATTTTAGTCATTTCATATTACAAAAGATAATAAAGCATGTATACTCGTAAGAAGCATGCAATAACACATGCATTATTATAGCTTTGCGTAGGTATAAGCTAAAAACTACATATTGTAATTAATTTTCGCGGTCATTTTTTCACCACGTAGTTAATACATTGCAGACGAAGCGAGTGTTATGGCCTATTATGCGTGTATTAATGGATTCTACACAAGGTTTGTTAGCTGTAGTTGCGAATGGTGTCTCTGTAATTGTGTCTGTGATGCCCAGTGCCTTAAAATTTAATCACACATTATATTGTTGCGACGCCATTTTTGAACGATATCTGCACAGTTCAGCTCGTAAAGGCTTTCGTGTTTTAACAACTATTTGTGACATAAACACGAATGTTTATTTACCATGTACTCAAAACGAAATAAAGAAATATTTTTGTGTAAATACTCAAATTTTACTGTTTGAAATTCTCACAAACGTTTGTTTTTCATATTCAACAATTTCGTAATTATTATTACAAAGTGGATGTCACGAAATAATTTATTCAACAACTCATACATGTCATGTTATTAATTGGCTTTTAATTAAAACGAAGTCAAACAAGCTAGTCAACTGTTAGGTACTAAACAAATAAATAAAACAGTTTTGCTGTGATATTAATTAAAAACAAAACATAAAAATATAAACATATCACAAAGGAAGCAAAATCGTAATTCTATTATATTCCAAGATAATTTCTCCATCCCTAAATCACTTATCACAAACGCTTTTAGAACTAAAAACTAGTGTTGACCCACATTTGTTTTTACTCTGGTTGCACCCCTGCAATAAAACTACCGCCGTAGGAATTCAAGATTTTATACTGAGTTAAGTTACTTCACCTAACCCTAAACATTGGGTCTTTAGGCGTCGCATATGCTAATCTGGGCCTCGCCGGCACTGGTTATAATGTCGTTGACATATTGTTATACATTTTCTTTATTTTGGACGATGAGTTCCTAGAACTTCCTTTACCTAGAAATGTACAAATTAACGAAATTAAAAACAACAACACATAATTTAAAAGCGATGTCACAACAAATTTTGATAAGCATAAAACTCTGTCTAAGTTTCACCTAGTTTTAATACCCCCCCCCAAAAAAAAAACAACAACAAACAAAACAAAAAACTTCTTGAATAATTAAAATTTTAAACAGGTCCCATGGTTTTTACCTTAATTAAACTAAATACAAATCACATGTCTATATCCAGCTGACTTGCAGCGACTGTACTGTATAACATAAAAAAAGGCAACATATTAAGGGCCATAACTTCTAATCTCAAACGCGGGAACAGGCCGCAGTTATTATACAAGTGTTTCTATAGCAACCTTAAATTAATAAAAAAATTAATAAATAATTCATAATGTATACGTATATTATTTGAAATTACTTGTTCACAGTAATATCTGTTGTTACTTATGGACAGTTTTGAAGACTTATAATACTCAAAGAAACTCCGAAATCGAAAGTATTTTCCAGGTTTGATAATAAACATAGAACATATTATAAACCGATATTATTATTTTAGTTTAGTTCCAAAATAAATTTCCCCCAGTGGCTCAGTGGTAAGTCTGTAGGCTAAAAACCAGGTTTCGATATCCGTGGTGGGCATAGTACAAATAACCCATTGCGAGTATTGCGCTTAATACAAACAAACATATTCAAAATAAGTATTTCTACTATCCATTAGAAACAAAGCACGCAATGATCACGCAAAACATGTGAATTAAAATATATGATATGCGTGTCGTGAGAATTTCTTTAGTTACTTCTTTCATTCAGTATAGGAGGATAACGGTAACACTACCAGACACTAACTCTCTAAGTTTGAGACTTCTTTACAAGTAAAAATATACACGATAAGCAGACTCCTTATTTCTGTTTTTATCAGTTTAGGGGTAATTTTATGTTTTAAAGATAATGAAAGCAAAAGAGAAATAAGTTCTTGTTTTTTTGTTTGTCGTTTTTCGGCATGTTTTACGAAACTATCTAAACAAGATTTTAGAAACTTTTGTTTTATAGATATAAAGAGTATAAGTAAATAGCTTGGTAGAGAAAATAGTTTATTCTTGGAGGATTTAAAGAAGGAATTTGTTTGTTTTATAGATATAAAAGTATAAGTAAAGGGCTTGGTATAGAAAATAGTTTATTCTTGGAGGATTTAAAGAAGGAATTTGTTTGTTTTATAGATATAAACAGTATAAGTAAAGGGCTTGGTAGAGAAAATTGTTTATTCTTGGAGGATTTAAAGAAGGAATTTGTTTGTTTTATAGATATAAACAGTATAAGTAAAGGGCTTGGTATAGAAAATAGTTTATTCTTGGAGGATTTAAAGAAGAAATTTGTTTGGTTTTATAGATATAAACAGTATAAGTAAATAGCTTGGTAGAGAAAATAGTTTATTCTTGGAGGATTTAAAGATGGAATTTGTTTGTTTTATAGATATAAAGAGTATAAGTAAAGGGCTTGGTAGAGAAAATAGTTTATTCTTGGAGGATTTAAAGAAGGAATTTGTTTGTTTTATAGAAGCTTTGCATAAAGAAACACAAGAGTTGTCTGCGCATATATTCGTCACTAATTTTAAACTGGCAGACTAGAGAGCAGGAAGCTGGTCAACAGTACCTACTGACCACTGTCAACTCTTAGGCTGTTGCTGTATGACCAAATAGTAGGATTTGACCATCATTTCTATAGCGCACCCACGGCTCTAAATTGCAGAGAATGGTTATGTGCCGAAGGGACGCTTATCCTGAATCAGCGGATTCACACTCTGGATACAGTACCCTCTAGGCAACGCCCGGCTCACAAAAAATAAATAAAAAAAATAGAATCACGTGCAACTAACGTGAATATGAACTGTTAGCTTTTGACATTCGGTTGACAAAAGTGGCATCGACAAAAATTCAATATATATTTTCCTTCAATTTGTTATTGCTTCATGTTCATTATTTATTGTTCGGGGTGGTAGTTTTGATCTTCGGGTAGATAGATCTTAACATACTATATCCTGACGAGTTTTGTATAATATTTGGTGTAATTCTACTGTTTCACCTGTTTACCATCATGTGAACACAGGTGTGTATCTGATACAAGTTTGCTCCAAGACTGCTAGGCCACATTAGTGGTGTTCTACGAATATCGTCAGGAAACATTAGTACATCATCGGTGTTCTGTTAATGTCTTCATGCAACACTAGTACATCAGCGGTGTTCTGTTAAC